ACACGTGAAAACATCCCACCTTTACGTTTATTCTCCTTTAAAATGGACGCGCGAGCACTGACGGCGTGGCAGCCGGGCGGCGCATACCTGTGAAGTGCTGCAGCGTCGTGCCCTGCACCCAAAGGCTCAGCACCTGCTGCACCGACAGATTGACGGAATAATCCCTGCTGGTTGTCATGTTCCTGCCGCCGCCCGGGTTCGCCCCCCCCTTTGTCGAATAGCTGTGCTTGGCTTTAGACGAAGGCATGGAGGAGACCGGGGTGGCACGGGACGTGAAGCGGCTCTCCCCCCGGCGCGGCTCGCCTCTACCGGTGCCTCTGCTTCGGCTTGACGTCCGTCTCCGCGTCGGGAAGGGAAGCGCCGCTGGCTGCTCGGTTCATCCTCGCTGGTGTCGCTGGCGGCCGCGCGGAGGCCATGACGGGGATGGCAGCGGGAGCGCAGGCGGGCTGACGCGCGGTCGGCTCGTCCCACATCGGCCGGCCCGGCTACATAACCCTTAAAGGGGCAGTCTGCTCCGGGGCGGCGGGGGGGCGGGGGGGCTGTCGCCTGCGTTGAGACATCTCCGGCGCTCTGACGTCGCTCCGTCGATGGGGAACAAAAGGAGAAGGGAAATATTACGCAGCGACGTGATCACATCACTGCACATGGGATGCAATTAGGCGGTAAATGTAACGCATAAGTGCGCGCGCGGGTGTGACGTGTGGAATGGCATCGTTACAAAGGAGAGACAGTTGACCAGGTAACCAGGTTGCTAAGCGACTGGAAATAACTTCTCTGTTTTTGCCTTAGTGGGCCAACTCGAAGAAATATATATAGATAATCTATTCAATGTGGTGCCGTTTGATTTGTTGTTGAAAGAAAGGTCTACATCAATATCAAATGAAGTGTGGTGCCAGCTCGAAGGTCACAACCGGGGCGTTGCCCATGACGACAGAGGGATGCAGGAGCTCTCCGTGGTGCTGATTGGTTCACCCCCAAAACGCCTGATACAATAAAAAATAAAAAAAAATGGTAGGATGGATGAAAGAGAGGCACAAATGAGCGGTGATGCTGAGTGGCAGGTTTTGGATAAACGAAAAAAATATATATCCAGACCACGACTTACCAAATGGAAGTATGAACAATTGTGAAATGCATCCGGATGTTTCAAAGACGAGGTGGACTACACTGTAGAGCTAAGAGAGCACATACCTCAGGACTAGAATCAAATCGCCCAGTAGGACTAAGACAGAATCTGTGAAGAGATGAGTGCTATTTTTAATAGTGTGAAGCTTTGCAACTGTCCAACATATTTTTGTCACCGTGCAAGAGCGTCAGAAAAGAAATGAAACGCTGGATGTGGGGAGGCAGTGACACTAAATGTCCTGGCACATATTTCTCTGAGGAGTGCAGTATTTTAAGACGTGTCCCAGTTCAGAGGTCCAGAGGCCGAGGCAACGTCTGACATTTGACATCTTGGCGTCGTACATGCAAAAGGTTAACAGAGAGGATTTTAATGGGCTGTTGGATCATGAATGAATTCATGTACGCTTGCATCTCACTACAAGGTCAGCTATTGAGACAAATACATCTGTTTAGTAATGCAGTGTTTCAATAAGCCGCAAAAAGGTTACAGATTACTACCCCGGGATAAAACCGCCAGAAAGAATTGAACTTTCTCCCTGAATCATCCCCCTGATCACAACCTTTTTCCAATATCCTCTTTCATCACTACCAGACCGAGTGTTCTGAGGAAAAAGTTCAGGCCAAGCGTAGGAGGAAGAAAAAGAACATTTCCCTTCAAACTTCCTTCAAACAACGCTTTAAGGTGTTGTTATCCAGCATCTCTCATTGTCAGGAACCAGGAACAATTCTTGCCAAAATATGTCAGACATACAGGGAACTTGACATCAGCGTTCCCTTGTTGTATGCACCACTCCAAAGACAGCAGGTAGCCTGAGCATCACTCAGCACAAAGAAGCAAATACAGAGCACTGGACCGTAAGTCCTGCATTGTATCTCAAAGTTGTGGCGTGGATTTAAGTGCAGCGTTGTCTCACAACAAACGGGAAGACAGATGTTCCTCCTCACCCTGCGGTTCACGCAGAACTTCTCCCCTCTAGACGGGAAACCACCAGAAAAGACGACTCACTGAAGCCGCTGTTTAGTTTGCAAAATAAATAGCAACTATTGTTTCCTGTAAAGCAACAACTTCTTTGAACACGTTTGACCTCTGTGAAGTTGTTTAGGTAAGTTTTACCTTTGTGTGTTCTCATGAGTCCTTCCATTTTGTTTTAAAATGGTTTGATCAGAGTAAGCCAACAGTCAATTCTGTAAAGAACATCCATTAAAGCCTGCGTCGTGATGCCAACTTGCTGTCTGTGTCCCACAGTGCCCATCGGATCACAAAAAAACGTACCTCTAAAAGTGTGATAGCGATATGAAATTAGAAAATTCTGGCATTTAAGAGTAGAAATATGTAACACGACTGTCTTCAAACAACAGATTAAACTTAGTTGAAGTGATGTTAAGGAGTAAAAACTATTTTTTTAATTATTATTTTTTTCATCTCAACGTTGCTTGATCTGTCTTTCAATTATCACACATGACCTTCATTAGTATATATATGTATATATATATGTATATACATATATATACAAGTGTAGCATGAAGGGGGAAAATAGACCATTGTAACCTTTTGTTTTGTCTCCTGCAAAGGAAGGACTGTGACTTGGACTAAATAACAGGGAGCTGGTCTTGTATTTATATCCTGCTACCTCCTATTTATGGTGGGAATCCTCTTCTTCTTCTTCTTTTTTCTATTCTCATTTCTGTATTTTCATTTTCATTTCAAATTTTAGCTTTCAGCATTCCAATGCATTTTCAGCAGGAAATGTATTTTCTAGTTACCATTTTCTTCTGTACAGCAATGATGTATATTTGCATCCCAAGATAAAGCGGAAGCCCGACAGCCCCTCTGAACTATTCATTGTGAATTTCACCAACGGGGGTAAAATGAATTTCTCAGAGGGGAAGTTGTGTGGCGGAGGGTCGGCAGGGTGAAATGGACCAAGTTGACGTGTTGATGGAGGCGGAGCTACTGGAGGGGGAATAACGGAGCGGACACGTCAATGGTCATGGCAGTGACTTTAACTCCCCCAGAGCACCGCTGTCTCTTTGGATTGATCTCAACTGTGAGGGTGCATGCGTCTGAGAACAATGGATGCATTCACTTTAATTGTACTTCTCAGCTAAGAACCACAAATACATGCTCAGAAAGGTTTGGGTTTTTTGGCCCTCATCTCCAAGAGAAGTTATTAACATATAAAATGCAGTCTGTATCATGTGCAGATGTAATGACTGGATGCTAACATGAAGAGAATAAGGTTAAACAAAATAAATCATGCTTGGTTTTTAAAGTCACATAAATAACTTGGAGATAGAATCCCAAATGAAAAACAGCTCACTTGGACGATTCCCCCGGTTGGCCACAAGGTGGATTCCTCCTCCCATGTTTCCAACTTCTGCTTGCCGGTCGTCTTCCACAGCAGTGGAGACTTTTCTTCTCCACAAAAAAACGACATACCCGAGGTTTAGAAGGTGATTAAAGTGACAATGTATGACTTCTTCCACCATGGCTTTGTGAAAAATGTTGGTATTTGACTCTTGAGTCACTGCCACGGTTATTATCTCCATGTGTCACCAGGCAAAGGCTCCACCACATCTGAACTGTCAGCCTCTGCTTTTGAAAATCTTCAAATCCCCCTTTTCCTGTGACGGGACCTTGACAAACGTCTTTGTCTCAAATGGGGATTTTTCTTCTTGGGAGTGGGGACGGGGAGCAATAGGAGACGTCACCGTATCCAGATCCATGCCGGCATTGTCCTCGCCCACAGAGGTTCTGGGCAGACCTGCAGCGTTCTGGACCCATTATCTGAAGGCTCTTTTTGATCCGGCGTGTACATTGAGCCTTTTGTGTCCATTGTTGACTCGTCGTAACTGGATCTGCGAGGTGATATATCTATTCATCTGCGGGTGTTGTGTGTTGTGGTCTTTTTGTGGTCTCCCCCCCTCCTCCCCCGGGCAGATGGCCTTGAATCAGGTGAGTCACCAGCAAAGCCCCTTCGTCTGGCTAACATCCCTGCCACAGTGAGGACACTAACCGGAACCAAGCGGCCGTGTGGTGACTCAAGGCATTAAGGCTGCAGCCTTAAGGTTGCACAAGGAGAGTTCCCTTCCAGCCGTCTCGTCTTTTCTAGTGGTAGAAATAAAGAAAAAAAAAGACTTTTTTCAGAGGGCATTTGGGTTTAAAACCACAAAACCACCAAGAAAAAGAATCCCAGAAAAAGAAAACAAAATTGTTAGAAAAAGAAGGAGAACAGCATTTATTGAAAATACAAACCTTCTTACACCACAATTTTTTAGTTTCTGGAATAAAACTTCTGCAGGTTTTATACTCAGGCAGTCTAACACTGCATCCCTGCATACACATTTAAAAACTGATGCAGGAGGAACACATCATATATTACGTCCATAAGTAAACCTTTTAACAGAAGCTGTGTTATCTCACAGCTCAAACTTGTGACAGGATGAAGTAACCAGGAGCCGGTGACAAGGGATCTTAGACGGATGTCTGTTCATTTGTCTTGATGACACCATAAACCTGAGATTTAGCAGTCTAGTTTGGGGAATGTGGGAGGGAGTTGTTCATGTTTACTGGTGTTTCCTTACGGTCTTATATCATAGGAATAACATGCATGAGTTTTGCACGTGGGCACAGTTTCCCTCCAAAAGGTGTTGAGTGAGAAATTCTGACCATTTCTGTTTCCTCCGCACGACTCACAACATGAAGGCCGAGCCGGCGGCTTGCAGCCAACGGCCAACAGCTGAATGAGAGCAGTGCAGAGCAGCAGACGTGAGCTCACCACTCACATGCGCTCACATGCACTCACATGCACTTACATGCGCTCACATGCGCTCACATGCACTTACATGCGCTCACATGCACTCACATGCGCTCACATGCGCTCACATGCACTCACATGCGCTCACATGTACTCACATGCACTCACATGCGCTCACATGCACTCACATGCACTTACATGCGCTCACATGCACTCACATGCGCTCACATGCGCTCACATGCACTCACATGCGCTCACATGTACTCACATGCACTCACATGCGCTCACATGCACTCACATGCACTCACATGCGCTCACATGCACTCACATGCACTTACATGCACTCACATGCACTCACATGCACGGCAGCTATGTCAACAAAGCCCGAGAAACTAAGATAACAACCCTCATAGAGGAGTGACTTCATCCTCTGCTCAGGTAGACGTTACTCCACTATATCGTAAGAAAGATAATAGTTGTTTGCTACTATATTGTTGCTCTGTGTCAAACTTGGCACCAATGAGGGGATCGTTTTAGAGCCGAGGTTAACAATTCCTTGAGATCCCTGTCATTTTTAAGGTCATTGACATTTTTAAATCCGTGTCACTGAAAAATTCAACCAGTGTTCCAGTGTTTTGGGGGAAAATATTTAGGTTTTTTTTGCATCATGGGCCCATTCAACAACACGCGCACTGGCACCACCAACTGCAACAATAGCTCAAATGATATTGTTCAGTGCAGTGGGAAACTAGTCAGGAGTCAAACCGGGTTCACGAGGGGCCGGCACGCTGACTCCCTTTCATAGTGAGGAAGAGAAGTTCCCAGGGACCCTTTGATGCCTCTCTGGAGGCAGGTGTTCACAATCGCAGTTCAAACAGCGGCTGTGTTTGAAGTGGCACGAGTTCTACCGAGCGAGCCGATGAAGGTTTGATCCTCTTTTGGCTTCACCTGAGAGGTTTGACCACAACTAACGGCTGCACCTGCATCGCACAGAACCCGCCCCCAGGCCGTCTTCATCTCTCACATCCACATTTAGCGTCAAGGGGAAAACTCCCGGCCTCTCGCACATTTCGGTTCTGCTATTTGGAACTCATTTCGTCAACAAGAAACACCCACCTTCAGGAAATTGTTGTTTTCAGCTGCTTTTGTTTCCTGGGAAATGAAGACAAATGACCACATAATGACACAAATGATTACTAGTAATTTGGGTAGTAAAACTCAGGGTTATGTCATTAGAGTGATCTCTTTTCTTTGATGGCTCATATCAATGTATTGCTTCAGGGGAAGTAACTCCGATGAAAGACTAGTTTCCTGGGAAGTGTTTAGCCACCGCTGGAGATCCGAGCAGCGTGGGTGAGTCGGGTCGGAGAGGACGAGCGGCTGCATGCCGCTGCACGTGGGCGGAACAGGTCTCTCATTGAAAGAAACCTCTCCTCGGGGCAACACATTTTCTGTTTCCTTTATTTCCACACCAGTTATTCATTGCTGTGTAATTTACTTGTCTTCATTAACAACTTCTCAATTTTTTTTTATTTTAAGTTTTTTATTGCACCAGCTTGTGGTGGCAAAGAGAGTAAAAGTGTAAACAAACAACAGAACCAACTTTAACAATGGCCTAAACGCTTTTAACCTTTAAATACAGAAAAACTGCTCATTTAAATCGAATACTCACAAAACACTACGAGTAAGCTACAGCCTGCCTTGATAGAATTGGGTGTTAGCTTAAAATCATTTGCTAGTCAGATCTAAACCAATACTTCAACCTCACGGTGGCTCGTGAGGAAACCAGAGTCAGTGGGAATCGGACACAATAAAGCAGCAAAATCAGGTACAAAAATCTCGTAGCGATCCATCCAGTAGATGTTGAGACATTCTGGTCCTGACAAAAGTCGTGTACGGACGAAAGGAAAATAAAATAGTGCCTCAATAAAGTGTTGTCATAAATTATTTTTTAAATGACATGTATATTATTTTAAAAAACAGCAATATGACAAAGGCTGCGTAGTCTGCCATGTTAACTGCAGTGTTTTCATGCACGGAAGCAGCCAAAGTCTGAAAGTTCACTTAGTCTTACTTAACTCTCCCCCAGAGGTCTATATCCATCCCAGGGTCACCATACCTTGTCTGAGGGGGGGGTGCAGGGGAGGGGGGTTGGGTGGATTCATGCCAGCAGTGATGGCAGACAAGCTTAACACCAACATTTGCCAGAAGCATAAATGTTCCCGGGACGTTTTGAGTCAGTCAAGAAGCCAAAAAACCATCCGGTCCCAACAGGCCTATCGGCGTCTGGGATCTGGCCTTGCGGATCGCTCTGCAGGCGGAGGGGGAACGCAATAACACACATAAAACTGCCGCGTAGATCACACCACAGTCCAGGTAAGCAATGATATGCGGCGGACTGTCAATGCTC